AGAGGAAGAGGTGTTGTTGCATTTATTTGTATGTTTTGTAACACTGTGTGATGACTGCATCCTCTGATGGTTCATGTATTTTGACACAACTTTAGAAGGGAAAGACATAAGGGAAGAGGAAGTTGGTCTCGGTGGTACTGCTTTATAATGAAAATCAGTGCATGATGTGTGATAAAGAGCAGAGTCTTGTGGCATCTTATGAGACTGGGGACCCAGCTAGGCATGAAGCCAGCTAGCCATTAACAGGATTTTCCACAGTGTGAAAAGATGTTAGCAGCAGCCACAAAGGAAGGATAACTGAGATTGCAAAAGTGACACCAGAGGAAGAGACTGATCCTTCCTACATACTATCTTCACTACTGAAATCACCCTCTTCCCTTCTTGCCGCCAGCTTCTAGTTTTGGTTGAGGTGAAACATGCAAGCTATCATACAGACATACAGCTTGATTATGCCTTGATAAACATGCCTGGGCAATGAGATCAGTAGGTTTAGCTTAAGGACCAGACTGGTGGGCATTCAACACGGGGTGATGTGGTCCTCCTGACTCTCAAAGCCATTGGGACTGCAGCTTTAATGCTTGGACGTTTGCTTGCTCTAATGCCTGTACAGAAATAATGCCAAGGGAGTTTGCTCCTCTGTGTTATTCTGGGACGTACCACAAGAAAATTTGCAGTTTTGTAGCAGCAACCTGATGTAGTTAACCTACTGCTGGAATTTGCCAAAAGGAAGACCCCAGAAGATGGAGCAGTTTTCTTCAGTAATAAGCATAGGAACCCCATTCTTATCTCTAATCAGTGATCAAATAGCAATTTGAAGACATTTAAATTTTAAACACCAGGTTGGGTATTTCAGCTTTAATGCCGTATATTTTAGAATTGAACTGTGCTTTAAATGTCTAAAAACTGTTGCATGGTTGCAGCTACTTCAGCGTAGTCATGTACCTTATCAGCATATGTGTGTGTGCAGATGGGTGTCTGTGTTTGTGGCTACACTCATGCAGCCCTCAGAGCAAACAAGCTGTACAAGCCCCGTCTAAAAGATGTCTATTGCGAAATTGTCAGCATGAGTATGTGGATATATTTAGCTCATATTTCCATGAAACAGAGTCATTCAACTTAATTGGAAAGAATGCAAGTTGAATTCCCTGCCCTTTGCCAACTATAGGGCATTTAGCAACATGTCAGAGCCTATGAACCTGCCTAAACTATGTTTACTGGGGAATAAATCACACTGAATTCAGTGGAGGGTTTTTTCAAGTAATAGTATATAGGATTGTTCTGTTTGTGTGTCAGTTACAGTGTGTGAAAGTAGCAGGGGAAACCTCCACAAAGACCTTTCCCTGTGATATTTTACCATTTGCTCACCCTAAGTTAGCTTTCCTAAATCTGGTGCCCTCTGGATATATGAGTACAATACCTATCATCCCCAGCTGACTGTAATCTTACCAACTGAGCCTTCTTATGCTCATTTTATAATGAAGGTCTCCCTTACTGGACACTGGCCCTGCTCTTTAATACGTATGTCCAGGTCCCTCTCCGTTGGTTGCAATCCACAGCCACTGTCAGCGATCTAGTGTAGTACATAACTGCAATAGTTTCGTTACTGTACTTTGGCAGTGCGAGAACATCCACAATATATTCGAGACAGAATGGCGCTTCAGGAACTTCAGGCGGTTCCTTTTCACTCACATTAAGGGCTCTGCTGGTACATTCCAGGCTTCAACAGCAGTATTCTCACCTTAGCTTGATGTTTGCCCCAAATGTCAACTACCAAAACCACAAGCTGAGCTCAATGTACTCTACATTAGGCCAATGTAGCCCAGGCAAGGCCTGTCCAGCAACTTTGAACCATTTTAATTAGAAAACTCTTTCTTTATTACAATCACAGAATCACGGGACAGGAGTTGCCAAAAGATCATCCAGACCAATCCCAAGTCTCATTGCGCAATGGTATTTCTCAAGCACAGGCACTGTAGAAAAGAAATAGGATGAGTAACATGTGCCCTAAGAAGCATGACATGGTTGGTGCATGATCGAAACATAAATGACTAGTGGCAGAATGACTGACTTGCTCAGCAGAGCAGTAAGGAACAGGCCTTTTTTCTCTAGTAACAGTTTTTATTGGTTTTAGAATGGCAATCATTAATGGTGATTATTAAAACTGTAATAAAGAATGGATAACTCTCCAAAGACAGATCCAGGAAGGTTTTTGAATGTGTTATAGTTCTCATCAGTTTATTTTTATTCAGTTTTAGTCCCAACAGAAGAACTGGAAACTCTCTCACCTATTTCTAGATTGCATGGCAGAAGAATAGCCCACACAAAGGACAAAGTTAAATGAAGTAACACAAAGGACTCATGTGGGCCATGATTATGCTGCACAAGTCCAAAGTGATGCAGATTTACTCAGAGAAAAGTCCCATGGAGTCTGGTGGTGCCTAGTTCCAAGTAATGCCATTTAAGATTGCTGGTATTAGGAACCCATTGAAACCTATGGTACAAATTAGTTACAAGTTAACTTAAGTTTCATTAAATTACTAATTATTTTAATGTCATAGTGAGAAAGGTGATTTCCTTGCTTGTTTCAGGTGTTTAACCTTATTTTGTTTTGGTTTTATGATGGGAGACATTATTATATTTTTTAGAGTATTCCAGTAGAAATATTCTAGATGAGTTATACTAAGTTAGAGAAATCATTGATGCCTATAGAGCAAACCTGGGGAACAAATTGTATCTTATACTTTTCATTTTTAAAATGAAAGGGGGATTGTGCTGCATAGGGAGCAGAGACTCTCTCTCTCTCTCTCTCTCTCTCTCTCTCTCTCTCTCTCTCTCTCTTTTTGGTGGGAGGACAGTTCCTGGAAGCAGACTACTTTTCTTGCCCAGTCAAGCACTCTAGGACTGTATAGGTCATCACCAGCACTTTGAATTGTGTCCAGAAATAGATTGGGAGCTACTAGTGTTGTTTCAGTAATGTATGCTCCCTACAGCCCATCCTAGTTAACAGCCTGGCAGCAGCTCTCTGAACCAGCAGGAGTTTCTGAACACTCTTCAGAGACAGCACGGAGAGCATTTCAGTCTCCCAGACAGATGTATCCAAGGCATGTGTCTCTGTGGCCACTGTGTGCTGAGACCTGGGCTTCCAGGCTCAGCGTTGAGACTAGAAGTGAACCCATGCCCAAAGTTGTCACAGCTGGGAGTGAGGTGGCACTTGGCTGGACCTGAGTCTACAAAATCTACTTCAAGTTGTGCAGGTGAGATCCAATTCCAGCAAGGTAGCAGCAGCACAGCAGCACTGGAAGACAAACTTGCTTTGCAACACTGTGGAGCGTCTTCCTTTAGTTGCGTTGGATGATGTTCTGCAATCGCCTCCTTGTTGCCTCCTCTTTAAGTTAAAAAAAGAGGAAGAAATGAAGTTAATGTTATGCAGCAACAGTAAAGTGCAACTTGACTCTGAGGCTCACCATCCTGAAGGAGTCAGAAAAGAGGAAATAAAAGTTCAGTTTCAGCTTCATTTGAATTCATTGTGGCAACTGTCTGCCAGCAAAGAGTACTTCTCAGCCCACAAGCTTCCATCACTGCTGAGCTGAGACGTGGAGCATGAGAAGAGTGGAAGCCCTGACTTGCTCAACACTGCAGAGCAGAAATGCCTGCTCATGGTGGATCAGTGCTGGTAACAGAAACACAAGGAGAACTCCCTGGATTTTCCACAGTTTGACATTTTCTGAGAATTTTCCTTTTTCCCACTTCCCCAGAAAGGAAATTCATCCTCCTGGAGAATATTCAGTGCAATGACTCCAAGTCATTTTACTACTGAGAAGGGCATGGGGAATTTTGGATCCAACCTGGATCCAACCCAATTAATTGGCCCCTGCTCCTTCCAGTGTCCATCTCTTCTCTCATTGCTTCTTCATCCACCAGAATGAATTAACAACAACCATTTCTTTGCTGACGTTTTAAACATACATGTCATTATAGCATTACTGGGATGTATCACTGTCTCATTTAAGTGTGTGTGTGTAGTTCTCACACACATGTACTATCAACTACTGTTAGTATACATCAGTTCCCTTCATGTATGAGTAGGTCTCAGGGTGATGGTCCTCAGTTCCCGTTCCTTTGGTGGCCATTGCTTCTCTTTGCCTATACCTGCCTCTCCTATTGGAGAAACGGGAAATGAGTGGGTAGCTGGACTCCTGCCTTTCCGTTGCCTTGGCTTCAGGAAAGTAATCTCTCTTCCTCCAGGCAGGTCAAAGCATTTGATTTCTGATCCAATTAGGAACTGATCGGTATTCTTTAGCTACCCTCATCTCTTCATAAGGAATACAAGTGTGGTGAGATACAGAGCATTTTTAATTATATTTGCATCAGAACTGGGCCTTTGGAGGATGTTACCACACATCCTCATCCATGTGGCCATCTCGGCTTGCGGTTGTTCATGTGTTTAAGGGTGTATTCACTAGAGGTACAGCGTGCACATTGCATCTTGAGTACTATTTTCTGACCAAAAGGGGAATAGCTACTTCTGAAATCAAGAATTAACTCAAACTCTCATTAAAATTCAAAAGTGTAGACTTCATCAATGCAAAAAAGATATGCATTACAAAATAGAAAACTGGATTAGTCAACCTCCTAGGGCAAGGACCAATATACTAATTCTAATGGACCTAATATAAAGATAGAAAATATTGGAGGAAATAATGTTTGCCAAATGAAAAGTTGTCAGTGGCTATGGAAATGGCAAGGAAGGTGTTGAAAGGGCTATAAGACCAAGGAAGCTCAGGAATGTACTTAGAAACCATAGTATCACTTCTCAGCCTTTTGGCTAAGATCAAGGGTGTAGAAATGATCATAAGGAATGATATTGAAAGGCATTTAAACTCTGAATTATTTCTAGAGCAGAGATCCATAAGCATAAGGATGCCAAACCAAAAAGTTAAGAACTGATCTCTGAATTTCAGGGCAGTTATGGGTAGGTGTGAGAAGACAGAGGGGCTCACCCCTTTTCCTGGGGCCTTCCACAGGGCCAGGCTGAAGACAACAGGGCGGGGCTGGCAGCCCAGGTGGGGAGAGCAATTTGCTGGGAAGCAGCAGCCAGGGGATACGAAGGCGTACGCAGCTGTACGGCATTGCGGACCAGGGCAGGGACAGCTGGGCTGGGTGGAATGGTGTGCGAGGAGGGATCACAAAGAAGTGGCAGAAGAAGGAGTGGGGAGAGGAGAGAGAGACGGCGAGAGATGGCAGGAGAGCAGAGAAACACACGTGCGTTTGAGGAAGAGCTGCAGCGGTGGCCGCTGGCAGGGAGGCCGGGGCAAAGTGCAAGCAGGGACTGGGCAGCGGTACTGCTGGGACGGCGTAGCTCACTGCCATAGCGACAAGAGCAAAGGGAGCTGGGGCAGGCAAGGGCAAGGCGCTGCGGGAAGCGTGCGGTGGAAACTGGAAGCGCGGAATAAAGACCTGGTCAGTGCAACATCTTTCTTGTGTTGTTCTGCATGGAGAAGCCGGGAAGGCGAGGCTTTGGCCCGCAGCACCCTCCCAAAGCAGTCACAGTGGTGGAGAATGTGGGCACAGGGCGGCAGGGGGGTGCACAGGCTGTTTTCCCCTCTGCCTCAGCTGACTCCTGGATGGCTTGGTGGGCTGAACAGCAAAGGCTCCAGGCCCAGGAGCAGCAACACCTGTTGCAGGAATTAGCAACGCAACAGATGCAGCTTATGGAGCAGGTTTTCACTGCCCAGCTCCAGAACCACAGCTCGTTGCTTCAGCAAGTGCTGGGGGGACTACAAAGCCCTCAAGCTGAGACCTTGGTAGGACAGATGGGAGGAAAGTGCCCAGGACCTATGCAGATCTCTAAGAAGACTGCAGAAGATGACCCTGGAGCCTTTCTAATTAACTTTGAAAGGGTTGCCTTCACGGCCAAGTGGCCCAAAGACCAGTGGGCTCTCATCCTGACACCTTGCCTCACAGGTCCTGCCCAAGAAGCAGTGGATACCCTTACCCCGGAAGTGGCAGGCCAATATGATTTAGTCAAGGCGGCCATTCTAGGGATTTTGAATGTTTCTGAAGAGACCTATCAGCGGCGGATGAGATGGGTCATATTTGCGACTGGCAAATCACCCAGAGCCTTGGGACAGAAGATTCGGGCTAATGGGCTGAGATGGATGAAGCCTGCCATCCGCAGCGTGGAACAGGTGGCTGAGCTGGTCCTGCTGGAGCAGTTTATAACTGTCCTGCCTGCCCCAGCCAGAAGCTGGGTTAGGTGCCAAAGGCCTGAATCCCTAGAGGAGGCCATTGAACTTATGGAAACCTTTGGGGCTGCGGAAGAGCCAGATGTAGGAGACAGGCTGGGGCACCCTGGCAGGAGGGTCAGAGGCAGAAAGCCCCTGAGGGCCAGGGCCACCGGGGCTCAGAGGGAGCAAGACCTGCTGAGCCCACACCCACTGGAAGTGGCATGAGGCTTAAAAATGTCTCCCAGCTGGAAGTGCATGCACCAGGCCCCCCCTTGGATTTGCAGTGCCTTACAAGTGGGAAAGGAAGAGGAACCCAGCAGAAGCCAGTGTGCTTTACTTGTGGCAAGGAGAGACATTTCCAGAGGGACTGTCCATTGATGGAGTGTGACTTCGTGGAAGACTGGTGGTCCGCGCCGGTGAGTGCCGCCCCTCACCAAGCTTGGCAGGTTCAGGCCAGGGTGGATGGGAAGGAGGCTGAGGCCTTGGTAGACCCCGGCTGTGGTCGCACCCTGGTGAGGCAAACCCGGGGCAGCCCCTTGGCGGAAGTGCTACAGGTGAAATGCATACATGGGGATGTCAAGCCTTATGTCAGTCGATGGGCTAAGGTGGAGGTAAAGGGGAAGGCACACCTATGCAAGGTGGGGGTTGTCCCCAGTCTAGCGTATGAAGCAATAATTGGACGTGATTGGCCCCATTTCGAAGAGCTGGTGAGAGAGATGAGCTCAGGATTGCTTTGGCAGGGGAGGAGGAAGACGTAGGTCTTACAGCCCTGCGTACCTCCCGCAAGTGGCTGGTCTTCCTCCAGCAAAATGATGCCTCTCTTGTCCATGTCCTGAGACAAGCCCAGGACCCCTCAGGGGCAAGAGAGGGTGCAAGGAGTGGGCCCCACTTTGAGATTGCGAGGGGATTGCTACATAGGATTGTACCTGCGCAAGAGGGACACGGGGAATTGCGACAGTTAGTGATTCCTGAACCCCTGAGGCTAGCCGTTTTATGACTAGCCCATGACTTGCCTACTGCTGGCCACCTGGAGGTGGAGAAAACCACCAACAGGCTTGTCCAAAGGTTCTACTGGCCCAGGGTGTACGCTCAGGCCAAGCAGTACTGCTTGTCATGTCCAGAATGCCGAAAGACTCAGAGGAAAGGAGCCCCAGCAGGGCCCTTGATACCCATGCCAGTTATAGGGGAGCCCTTCGAAAGGATTGGGGTGGACTTGGTAGGGCCCCTGGAAAGGTCAGCCCAGGGGCACCAATATATTCTAGTGGTGATCGACTATGCAACCCGCTATCCTGAGGCTGTGCCTCTAAGGAGTACTTCAGCTCAGGTGATCGGCCAAGAGCTATTGGGGAGCTTTGCCCGGGTGGGCTTCCCCAAGGAAATTTTGACAGATCAGGCCACTAATTTCATGAGCCGGGTGCTGAGGCAGATGTGGGACCTGTTGAGAATAAAGCCCTTGCACACCACAGTCTATCACCCTCAGACCAATGGTCTAGTGGAACGTTTTAACCAGACCCTTAAGCAGATGTTTAGAAAGTTTGTGTCGACCTACCCACGACAATGGCATGTTTTGTTGGGGCCCCTGGTGTTTGCAATACGGGAGGTGCCTCAAGCCTCTTTAGGATTTTCGCCATTTGAACTGCTGTACGGACGGCACCCCTGGGGAATTCTAGACCTGGTCAAGGAGCCTTGGGAGGCGTCAGCCCCAGAGCCCACTTCCACCCTCCAGTATGTGCTGGATATGAGGAAACACCTCACTGACCTAGCTCAGCGGGCCGAGAGTAATTTAAGGCAGGCCCAAGGAGAGCAGCAGTACTATTACGATCAGCACATCCAGCCCCGGATGTTTCAACCAAGCCAGTGTGTTCTCCTGCTCCTGCCCACGGGAGGGGGCAAGTTGTTTGCATGGTGGCAGGGGCCTTACGAGGTTGTTAGGAGGGTGGGGCCAGTGGACTATGAGATACGCCTCACAGATAGGCGGTGTTCAACCCAGATTTACCATGTAAATCTACTCAAGGCCTGGAGAGAAAGGGAGAGTACCAGTCATCAGGTGGACTGCACAGCCGAGTCACCCAAGGCTCAGGCATTGGCCCCTGGGCAGTTATCTCTTGATTCACAACTAACACTCACTCAAGTAGCACAAGTCAGGGCCTTGGAGGCAGAATTTACGGAGGTCTTCTCTGATCGACCCGGGCACACGACGGTCGTAGCCCACCATATACAAACAGTCCCAGGGGCCCTTGTCAGGGTGCCAACACGGCCCTACCCACCACGATTGAGGCAAATGATAATAGAGGAAGTAAGACAAATGCTCCAATTAGGAGCCATTGAGGAATCAGTGAGTGCGTGGAGGAGTCAGCTGGTCTTGGTTCCCAAGCAGGCTCAGAGTGTCCGTTTCTGTGTTGATTTTAGGAGGGTCAATGAGGTATCAAGGTTTGATGCTTACCCCATGCCCTGGATAGATGGGTTGCTGGATGCTCTGAGGCAAGCCCATTTCCTTTCAACCTTAGATCTCACTAAGGGGTATTGGCAAATCCCACTGACTGAAGAGTCCAAAGAAAAGACAGCCTTTGCCTCACCAGTAGGGCTATTCCAATTTAAATATATGCCCTGTGGGTTACATGGGGCAGTCGCAACTTTCCAGCGGCTTATGGACAAGGTCTTGGGACATTTGTCCATTGTGCTGCGGCTTATATTGATGACATTGTCATTTTTAGTTGTACCTGGGGGGAACATCTAGATCACCTCCAGCACGTTTTGGTGGCTCTAAGACAGACTGGGTTGACAGCTAATCCAGGCAAGTGCAGAATAGTGCGACCGGAGGTGCAGTATTTGGGGTATATTGTAGGTCATGGGCAGATATGGCCCATGGCAGAAAAAGTGGAGAAGCTAAGCCGGTGGCCACGGCCGCACACCAAGAAGGAAGTACAACAGTTTCTGGACCTGGCCAGCTACTATCGGCGATTCATCCATCATTTCTCCTCCAAAGCGGCCCCCTTGACAGAGGCACTTAAGAAAAGGCAAAGTCGTGCCCTGGTATGGACTGAGGAGATGGAACAAGCTTTTGAAGAACTGAGGACCTGTCTCCTCAGCCAACCTGTTTTATGGTTGTCAGATTTCTCCTGTCCTTTTATCCTCCAAACCGACGCCTCAACCATGGGCTTGGGAGCAGTTCTGACACAGGGAGAAGGGGAAGCTGAACATCCGGTACTCTACTTGAGCCATAAGCTGGAGCCACGAGAGCACCAGTACTCCACAATAGAGAGGGAGACTTTAGCTGTCAAATGGGCTGTTTTGGCTTTGAGACACTATCTCTGGGGTGCCCCATTCATGTTGGTCACCAACCACGCTCCATTACAATGGCTAAGTAGGATGAAAGATGACAACCCCCACCTCACTCTTTGGTATCTAGCGTTGCAGCCGTAGGCCTTTATGGTCCAGCACAGGCACGGTCGCCAACATGCTAACGCTGATTTCTTTTCTCACCAGGGTCCCTGGCCCTTACACAAAGATGGTGATCCCCTCTTGGAGGGGGGGATATGTGAGGAGACAGAGGGGCTCACCCCTTTTCCTGGGGCCTTCCACAGGGCCAGGCTGAAGACAACAGGGCGGGGCTGGCAGCCCAGGTGGGGAGAGCAATTTGCTGGGAAGCAGCGGCCAGGGGATACGAAGGAGTACGCAGCTGTACGGCATTGCGGACCGGGGCAGGGACAGCTGGGCTGGGTGGAATGGTGTGCGAGGAGGGATCATAAAGCGGCGGCAGAAGAAGGAGTGGGGAGAGGAGAGAGAGACGGCGAGAGATGGCAGGAGAGCAGAGAAACACATGTGCGTTTGAGGAAGAGCTGCAGCGGCGGCTGCTGGCAGGGAGGCTGGGGCAAAGCGCAAGCAGGGCTGGGCAGCGGTATTGCTGGGACGGTGCAGCTCACTGCCATTGCGACAAGAGGGAAGGGAGCTGGGGCAGGCAAGGGCAAGGCGCTGCGGGAAGCGTGTGGTGGAAACTGGAAGCGCAGAATAAAGACCTGGTGAGTGCAACAGCTTTCTTGTGTTGTTCTGCATGGAGAAGCCGGGAAGGTGAGGCTTTGGCCCGCAGCCCCCTCCCAAAGCAGTCACAGTAGGATATATAAGAAACTGATTTCAGTTCATTGTTGACAAGAGTTTATCTATTTAGCACCTCCCAGAACTTGAAGAGAATCCCTGAACATAATTTGTGGTCACAGTGTATACATTTCTGAACTTTCAGTGTGCTTTGCAGAACAAAAAAAGGAAAGTGTTCAGATGGCATACATTTGAAAAGAAAGCATACTGTTGAAAAATGCATGTGTGCATGGTTAAATAATGGAAGAAAATGCAGAAATTTGGAAATGTGCATAATTTGGAAATAGGTACACAGAAGAAACATGAATGGTCCTGCAAAAAGGAAAAAAAAGCCAATGGTCTCAATCTCATATGGTGGATCTTTGAGATGAAATTCTGAGAACTACAATGAGCTCATGTTTCATCAATTTTCATATCCCTAGTTAAAACAAGGAGTACGGAGTATTTAATTAATCAAAGTCTGGACCTTGGTTTGGTCAAAATAAGGAAAACAAAGAATGAAAAGAAAACTGAGGGAGCTTCTAAGTTACTTCACAAATTCAGATGTAGCCAGCTATATATGGCAACACATTGGAGTACACTGGGAAGGGAAGGGAAGGGAAGGGAAGGGAAGGGAAGGGAAGGGAAGGGAAGGCAAGGCAAGGCAAGGCAAGGCAAGGCAAGGCAAGGCAAGGCAAGGCAAGGGAAAGGAAGAGATTGTCCTTGAATTCATAGACTAGGCTTCTCTGTATCTCAGTGATCCTGAGCAAGACATTTGTAGGGACAACATCAGTTCTTATGACAACAGCTGTAGTTCATGAGAAAGCAGATCACAAAAACAGAAGCACTGTGGCCACTGTTGTAACTTCCTCTATATTGTTCTCTTTGAATAGGTTTTCATATATACCAGGATATTTCATATACATCGATATTTCTGACTAATACATCAATATGCGATATATTTCTTCAGTGGGCTCATTTGTGATGAAGAATTATTCCTCCTGCATTATGAAATCAAGAATCAGGAAGACCATCATTTCTTTATTTCTCCATATGAGCTGGAATTAGAAGTGAAAGTTCTCAGAAGGAAGGAAGCAAGCCCTGAAAGACGTTAGTAACACGCCTTATGAGAAACACACACATAAATTGATTTCTCAGGGGAAAACCAGTTCACCATCCACACTGCTACAGCCCTGCTCAAATTTCTACTCTCCTTCAGCCTTGTAAGAGAATAAGGTAAGAATAACTCCCCACCAAACTGATGACCAGGGACCACACAGACTGTTTCCTCAAGATAACCCATTTTGAGAGAGAAGGGAAAACAGCAGGACTGGTGGTTACTGAGGCCTCATTCCCCCATACCTTATCCCCACCATCCAGTGCAATCTGCCACCCTTCCATATCTTGTAGAATGGTAACTATCAACAGCTCTAAGAAATAGCTTGCCATTCCCAGCCATTTCCTGCTTACCTTCCAAATTCCTCTAATAGACCAGAACATGCCGTTCTGCCAGTTCTGTCAGCCAATATCCAACAACCCATCCCCTGTGCCCCTTCCTTCCCTCTTGGGTGCAAAGCTGCTTAAATACCACATTCCTATCAATTTCAGCAGCTCATTGATGGAAAAGTAATGTGTGGATTTGCCTTGAATCTAAAAGAAAATAAAAGAAGAAAATAAAAGTTGATATGTTCTTCCCTGAGTAGCTTTCCTAATACTACGTTGCTCAGACAAGTACAGTTCTCAGTTTATTCTGCTTATCAGCCAGCTTTAACAATGTCTGCCTTGGTCCTCAATGTAGAGGCAAAGATTGTAAAGCATTTAAGAATGTGAATCATTACATTGTTTTGCATATTTTTTGCATATTTTTGTATTTGTGCATGGCTCCAGATTCAGAAGATAGTGTAGCAGCATTATTCCTACTTTATTGTAAAAATAAACAAACACCATAGTCACATTTTTTTAAAGTTGAAAGTCGGGAATATATATGTGTTATGTGGTTGTTTAGAAGTCTCTTTAATAAGTCATGTTCATAAGTCATGTTCATGAATAAGATAACACCAAAGAAATATCAAATTCTCTGTAGTAATGTTATTGATCAAAATATCTGATATTTATTTATTTCCATTTCTATACCCCTGTATCCAAAGCTCTCTGGGCAGTTTACAATTGAATTCATCAGCTGCAATGCTTGTACACAATTAATGCAGGAGAGTTTCCAGAAGTTTTTCTCTTCCACAGTGTTCTTTGTTCTATGTTCTCATGCTACAATCTTGTATGTTTGTACACAGGAGCATATTCCACTGAGTTCAGTGGGACATTCACCCAGGTAAATGAGCTTCTGATTGCATTCCTAAAGGTGTCAAGGGATGCATTGATGTCCATGGGCACTGTGTTGCTGACCCCTGTTCTAAGTGTGGCTGACTCATGACATTTGAAGTATGAGCTTGGCTGAAAAGCCAATGGAAAGAAGCTATCATCTGTGGGATTGTGTCTGAAAGCCTGTCTGAGTCCTCACAAAAATAGCTGCACCATGCACAAATGGAGGTAGTGAATGCAGGTATCTTTATTGCACAAAGCAAATAATGTGTTTTGTTTGAGGTGTTTGCTATGTCTACAGGGGCTGCTCAGAGCAGAGTCCTGCTGGTTCAATCCCAGACACTTCCAGATGGGTCTGGAAAACGCCTGCTCAAAATTCTGGAGAGCCCATCAGTGCCAAGAGGATGTCAGGATGGACCAAGGGTCTGGCTCAGGTTTAGGCAGCTGTCTCTGTTCCAGTGTTACTATGTAGAAATGAAAAGTCAACAACAAATCATGAGTATTACCTGGCACAAGACAATGATTTGTACGCATTTAAGTAACTTAAGGGAAGCATTAAAACAAAAAAGAACTTATTTAAAAAATATCAATACAAAAGGAGTTTAACCTACCGCCCCTAGAAAAAAGTTACCAAAGTTATTAAATAAAATCAATCTTCTCTTTTATTTTAGGATTTATTCTCATCTATTTATACAGATAAGAACAATATGGAAAAAATTTTAGGATTTGCTCACCTAAGTAGACTCACTATATTATCTTCCATATTATATGTTGTTTCTTTGAATGAGCAAGGTATGTATCTGTTTTCAAAGTCATTTAAACTAAAATACACTGTTTATGAATTTAAACATATTGGACCGGGTGGGATCAGGTACCAATCGTCTTACACCAGTGATGCCCAACAGCCTGGTGCTGGCCATGGCAGTGCAGCTTTAATTGTATTGTGTTGGGCTTGAGCCCAAGAGAAAGAAACTGGTGGAATCAGTACATGATTCATGGTGAAGAGGGTCTTATTCAGCCTCCTAAGCCTGCCAGTGAGACATTTTATCTTTTTAGCCCTGCAGGGTGTGAGGGAGGAATTCACACCATGCAGGGAAGAGAAGAGATAAACTTCCCCTCCCCTC